TTTGTTCCTTAAATAGTAAGTAATCATTAATTTGGATGCTAATCGATGTAAGACAGTAAACCAGGTACCTTATGAATGTTCCTCTACCTCTATCCCCAGTAAAGACCACAACCCACCACCACACATGGCCGCACACAGACACTCCTATAGGATGGATATTCTCTTCATTTTATTTATCAGAAAGACGGGGTTCAGAGTGGTTGAGTAACTTGGTCAAGGTCACACAGCTAGTGTCTCTGCCCAAGTTTCACTGCCATTACATCAGTTTTTCCACAGCACAGTGATTCAGAGAAAATTAGAGTGTTCTTTTCTCAAATCGCCCTTTACAAGTCATGGAGAGCAGAGACAATCAAGTGCTCCCTCTTGATTTGGAAGGAACTACTTACTGCTGTGCAAAGGAAAGCTGGATTTCAGTCTGACTTGGAAACTCCCGAGGCAGAGAGGTGGGAAGTAATGGCAGCGGCTTTTCCTCACCATCTCTGCATGTGCCTCATCCATCCATTGTGCTGGAGAGATTTTCATGAGTCAAGGAGGGATAGAATCCCTCTTAGAGTGGTTGAGTAACTTGGTCAAGGTCACACAGCTAGTGTCTCTGCCCAAGTTTCACTGCCATTACATCAGTTTTTCCACAGCACAGTGATTCAGAGAAAATTAGAGTGTTCTCTTCTCAAATCGCCCTTTACAAGTCATGGCGAGCAGAGACAATCAAGTGTTCCCTCTTGATTTGGAAGGAACTACTTACTGCTGTGCTAAAGGAAAGCTGGATTTCAGTCTGACTTGGAAACTCCCGAGGCAGAGAGGTGGGAAGTAATGGCAGCGGCTTTTCCTCACCATCTCTGCATGTGCCTCATCCATCCATTGTGCTGGGGAGATTTTCATGAGTCAAGGAGGGATAGAATCCCTCTTTTTGTTTCTTGAGACCACTGTCACCTGAGAGGCTGAACAACGAAGGGAAACATCTTGTTCCAGAGAGAAAAGTGTCTGTGGGGCCTCCTTCTTTCATTCGCCATAATCATCCCCCCAACCTCCAAAGCTCCACTGAAATGACTTCCAAATTGGGCTGAATTGCGAGGCCTGGGTGAGGATTCTCAGTGTGGTAGACAAAATAATGCCCATCTTCCCACCTCCCCCCAAAATCCATGTCTTAATTTCTAGAATCTGTGAATATGTTACAAGGCAAAGAGTCTTTGAGGATATGATTATGGACCTTGACATGGGGAGATTTTCCTGGGTGATCTGGGTGAATCCAATATAATCACCTGGGTCCTCAAAAGCAAGAACTTTTCTGACTATAATCAGAGAGAGAATTGACTGCAGAAGAAAAGCACAGAGAGATGTAACATGGTTGGCTTTGAAGATGGAGGAAGGGGCCACAAGCCAAGGAATGCCGGCAGCCTCTGGGAGCTGGAAAAGGACAGGAAACAGATTCTCCCCAGGAGGGAAGACAGTGATTATATTGAGATGTTCTTTCTGCTCCCACTGTTTTGTCCTGGTTCGATCCTTCAGTCTGTAATTACATTTGTGTTTGATTATTTGATTAATGTCTTCTCTGTCAAACTCCATGCCCCATTAGAGCAGAGATTTACTTTATCTGATTGTGTACTTTTGTGTTCCCAGTGCTGAACCCCACACCTGGGATGAGGATGGAGTGCAATAACTATCTGCTGAATAAATAAACACCAACTGGCCCTGGCTGTGAAGTCAACCCTGTATTTGCCATTTATGTGTCTTTTAAGAGAAAGAGCAAGAAAGGTGCCAAATGTTTCAACTACTGAAGACACAGAATTGGATGTCCCATCGTGTGGGTTGTTTGGTGGTGGTGGTGTTGCTGGAATTAATTTTGCTTTGCTTAGTTTGAGGGAAAGAATTCAAATGTAAAACACATAAACAAAACCACTAGGAAACAGATTTAAGCTGTAAAAAAACTTTAACTTGCCAAATGAATAAATTTAAATTAATCTTATTTAAGAACACAAGTAGGGACTATAACAACTCCTTGGGAAATTAGTTTTTAAATATGTTTATTTGAAAACTGCAATATCTTCAGGGCCAGGGCTGCAAAATTAGGCCTAGAACATTATTGTATTTTTTTTCATTACTGTATTTTTTTTTACACACAGCACAGGTAATAACCTATGTATAGAACACAAGACATAGCTGATTCCAAAATTATCCTTGCTTACCGCTTCTTCTCACATATTTATGATGCCATCTGATCTGAAAGTGCTTCAGACACCTGTGCTCAAGGCTTTTCAGCATTTGGACATTAAAGCAAAGTTGACGAGCTCTATTTAACTTGAAAGGATTGTCCATTTTTAGCTTGTTTTTACTGTGGATGTGAATAAGGTGCATTGCTTAGAGTTGACTTGTCATTTCACTGTCCAGAATCTAGTGGAAAGTATGGTACCTTACTTTTCAAATCCATCCTAAAATAATAGCGTTCTTTTCCTTTTCAACAACACAGGTGTACAGTGTGCTTTTCTTTTTCACTTAACAAGTGTCTGTTAAATTTCTACAGTGTGCAGAATTCTATGATAGTCATTGGGGCAGAGAGGCAAGGAATTGAAATCTCTGTCCTCACGTAGCCACCATTCTAGTAAATCACAAATACTGGAATCCTGTTTGTACATGTCACATTCTATATATTTTTTATAAACTGAAACCTGTATAATTTTATTAATCAATGTAACCCCAATAAATTCAATAATCAAATAAAATGTTCTAGTTGTTGTGCTTTTTCTTAAACCTCATGCATGAAACATGTGCCCTACCTGGTGCTCTTCTTGGACACCCCATAATTCGGAGACAAGACAATATTTTGAGAAACTACTAGAATGCAAGATTCATGGCAATCTTTGTCTTATCTCTGTTGCATCCCCACTGCCCAGCACATAGGAGACACCCAGTAAATATTTTTAAATGAACATATTTATTAAACTTTTTACATTAAAAATAGTACATGTCTATTTTAAAAGTTTTAGGAAAAACTACAAGAAGGAAAAAAAGATACAGCTACTTAAAAATAATCACTATTAACATTTTGGCATATTCCTCCAGACATTTTATTTATGCATGTATATATTTTCTTTTTACATCATGCTACACATACAGTTTTCTAACCCATCTTTTAAAATTTACAATGTAATCAGTGTATATATTACATGCCCTCTAGTATTTTTGACTACCTCATTATTGGAGATGTTACTCCACACCTTATGCAATTAATCCCACTAGGAAACGTGGCCAATGTCTTTAATGCTCTATTTTCCAGGACTTTGGGAAAATAGGACATCATGGTTACTAGGGCGTGAGTATCCAGGGCCAGAATTCAGTGAATAACACTAAGTTTAAAATCACACTTCTTTGATGAACCAAGAACATTCTGGAATGACTTTCCATGTGGAAGTAAACATCCTTTATTTTAGAACAGTTACATATGTGGCAGGCTAGCTAAAGAAATCAATAGCCATGTACTTCCGGGATCAAGAGGGGAACCTCAATCAAGCCTCCTCAACACCACCAAATAGCCCCCCTGGTAGAAGAAGAAGTGGTGCCATATTTACTTGTGTCTGAGGCTAAACACCCCAATTCCTTTGTTCCCTTATTCTGAGAACACCGGCCCCTCACTTTCACTCCCTCCTTCAGATGGGGCAGCAGATCCAGACTGGGTTACTTTGAAGAGCCAAGGTTCACTTTCAAGAAAAACCGGCCCCACCTGACCAGTGCTAGGCTGTTGTTTCTAAGACTGCTTTTGAAATTCATCTCTGCCTGGGAGTCTGACAGACCCTACCACAGATGGTGGTAAGACTAAGTGTTGAATGGCGCCAACGGTGGTCATTCGGATCATGATCTATGGGTTGTGTCTGGTGGGCTATGTACCTGGCTGAAGAGAATTCTCATGATACTTGGGGCTCTGCCCCTGCCTCTACACACATACTCAAAATTATTTTTCATAAATTCCCACTTGGAAATTGCCATAGAACATAAATGCAAATGGATTTTTCCAGAACTCACTACCACAGCCAATCACAAGGTTTGCAAGTGTTGACTTTAATGGAAAACCAGCCTCATATCACCTCTAGACGGGAATTTTAACCATGAAATATTCTAGGTGATTTGTATGATTTTTTCTCCAAACTAGTTTTGCAGCCTGAATAAGTAAATGTGTTTTGTAAACTGTAAGGATTAAACAAGCTTAACACAAAATTCCCACTTGGAAATTGCTATAGAACATAAATCCAAATGGATTTTTCCGGAACGCACTACCACCGCCAATCACAAGCTTTGCAAGTGTTGACTTTAATGGAAAACCAGCCTCATCTCACCTCTAGATGGGAATTTCAACCATGAAATATTTTAGGTGATTTGTATGATTTTTTTCTCCAAGCTAGTTTTGCAGCCTGAATAAGTGAATGTGTTTTGTAAACTGTAAGGATTAAACAAGCTTAAGATCTATGGGACAGGTTGAATACCTAGTAGTTGCTAAAATGTGTTCAGTTTATTTGCCATAAAATTTTTATTTGAAAGAAAGTACTTCCAATAAAATCTCAGACACAGAATTAAACTTTTCAGAATAAAACCAGTTACATAAAGAAAACATTCACCTAAATCAATTTGAGGTCACCGTTGATTATTTCATGCTTCCCATGGCTGAAAACATGACTTAAAGCTTATGTGTGAAAGGTGGTGGCAGGGGTCAGGGTGAGGAGGGACTGCTCCTTTCCCGTCTCCTCCAAGAAGAGCTGATCTGGCCCTAACCGGTTGGGCTCAGTGGATAGAGTGCCGGCCTGCGGACTGAAAGGTCCCAGGTTTGATTCCAGTCAAGGGCATGTACCTTGGTTGTGGGCACATCCCCAGTAGGAGGTGTGCAGGAGGCAGCTGATCAATATGTCTCTCTCATCGATGTTTCTAGCTCTGTATCCCTCTCCCTTCCTCTCTGTAAAAAATCAATAAAATATATATTTTTTTTAAAAAGGAAGAGCTGCTCTGTCCCTAGACATAGTGACTGGTTCTGAGGCCCCTTGGGTTCACCCATTAGCACCCAGCACAGTGCCTGCACAGAGCACCCTTTCTTCTGTATTTACAGGTGAGGAAGAAGAGAGGATTCATAGAAAGGGAGGGCCCGGGTCCTCCATGATCCTCTAGGAGCCCACAACAATCTTTCGGCTGATGGCGCCTGGCAAGGTGTAGATGAAGAGGACCAGGAAGATGATGAGGATGATCAGAATGAAAGCGATGATGATGTACTTCTTGTAATTCTTCCAGATGAGGTGGTACAGGCACTTGAAGGGGCTCACAAACCAGGAGAAGGAGGTGTCTGGGCGGCTGAGAGAGAAGCGAGAGAAAATTAGGGAAAGGGGCCATGTTGTCCTCATGTAGGACTCTCTAGACCTCGGGGAGAATTTCAGACTCCACTTCTCCACAAGGAGAAGCCTGACAACAGGAGAAGAAGACTGTGTTGCCTTAAAGCAGAAGCAATCTAGCATTTGGGGTAGTAATGATTCCTCATCATTTATAGTTGGGCCTAGAGTAGGGCAGGAGTCTAGTTAGAACCCAGACGGAGGTCTGAGTGCCCTCCATCTGACCAACCCTGACCAGCTCAAGCCCCACCTCTTCCATGAAGCCCACCTTGATCACCCCAGCCCATAATGACCTTCCTCATTTCTAATTCCTACCTTACCTATCACTTCTCACTAGACTTAGCCCCCTTTGAACTTAGCATATTTGTCTTCTACACTCTGATAACTATTTTATGAGTCTGTGTGTTCTCCCTACACAGATTGAAGGCTCCTGGAAGCCAGAGATTATGTCTTATATTTCTTCAGTGTTATTCATAGTAGGTACACACTGTAGGAACTCAATAAATAATTTTGAATTAATCTATAAATAAGTTTCTAACACTATGATATATATAAGAGAAGGGACCACTTATCTTGAGACACTTGCAGCCTGGGGAGGGATAGCACAAATACAATTTGAAAGAGTATTTTGTATCCATATTTCATATCTGTATATATTTACTTTTTAATTGATATATAACCATGGATTAAATTGAATAGAGTAACTCTTCTAGTAATTCTACTTCTGGGAATTTACTTTAATAATTCATAAAGGGGAAACATTTTCATATTATAATAATGAAAAAAGGTAGATATAAACAAAATATTCAATTATGGGGTGGTAACCAATTCAATTATGGCCATTAAGGAATATTCCATAACCATTAAAAATCCTAATTATGACAACTGTGGAAACAAAGCAGAACTTTTCAGCAAAGCGTGCATGAAACATTAAGACAATTTTGTATGCATGATCAGAGAACGAGTAGGAAAAAATTCATGTGACATTCACATAAAAAAAAGAGTAAAGAATATTATGAAATTCTCCTAGAAAAGCTTTTGTGGTAGTATTACAGAAACAAGCGTTCTCCGTTTGCCTCTGTATTGACGTTAGAATATTTTTCAATAGAAACGAAAAGCTATGTAGATTGGAGGCACCTACTGGCTGCCTCCTGGCTTCTCAGTTCGCCCAGAGGGTCCTCTAGAAATGGCCCATCCTCTGCGACGGGGACTGCAAAGGGCCGCTCCCATTTCGGATGCTCCCGCCCACGACCCCACTCACTTGGGTTTGGCCAGGGGCTCTGGCTCCTTCCGCGCTTTCCCGACAGGGTTTTTCTCAGCCTCCTCCGCAGTAACCAGGTGGAACTCGGCCTCCACCTTCCCCTGCACAAAGACAAAACTCGGTTTCTAGTCACAAAGACCTGCTGGGGCACCCCCAGCCTTCCAGAAAAGTGTTATCATGTGGGAGGTTGCCAGGAAGCATTTTGACTATCCTGCTGCTTTATTTTGAGAAATACTGTTACTTTTTTGGTCCTGGGAGAAGCCATTTTTATGATGGACAATAAAAGCCCTGAAATGATGTTACTGTTGAGTTGTGTGAAAAGAGTCCCACATGTACTAGTACACAGACACACTTATACTGTCACATGTGCTATTTAATTTGTAATCATTTAATTTCTGAAGAAATATTAATTAAAGAAAGTTACAATAATTAGAAGGGGGGCTGCTTACTTAAGTGCCGGAACCTTTTGAAATCTGCTGCTGTCTTTCTTCTCTGTCAATGGTTCTCAAGAGGAAATAGGTGGGTGTGTCTCCATATCCGCTGAGTGGCTTTCCCATCATCCTTCATTGTTATTACTGTCCCTACTAATTGTTTCATAATTATCCTTTTATTCTACCACTTGTGATGTAAGTCTCAGATTATCAAAGAACGAGACAGGCCTCTGCAAAAGGTAATAGTCTTTCTTTCTTGTTTATTCATTCACTTAGGACTGGTAGAAAGGCAGCCTGGTGCAGCCACTGTGGAAAACAGTGTGGAGTGTCCTCAAAAAATTAAAACTGGAACTGCCGTTTGACCCAGTGACCCCATCTCTGGGAATATATTCTAAGAATCTCGAAACACCAATCATGTCTGGGAATATATTCTAAGAATCTCGAAACACCAATCAGAAAGAATGTATGCACCCCTCTGTTCACAGCAGCACTATTTACAATAGCTAAGACCTGGAAACAGCCCCAGGGCCCATCAGCTGCGGGACATTTACACGGTGGAATACTAAGCAGCTGTAAAGAAAGAAGGATCTCTTATCCTTGGAGACAGCATGGAGGGACCTGGAGAGTATTATTCTAAGCAAAATAAGCCAGTCAGAGAAAGATAGTATCACATGATCTCTCTTGTATGTGGAATGTAATGAACAAAATAAACTGATGAACAAAATAGGTCCAGAAACATGGAACAGACTACAGAATCTCAGAGGGAAGGCAGGGGAGGGTGGGAAGAGATTAACCAAATTAAAAATTTATATGAACATATGCATAGCCCATGGACACAGACAACAGTGCGGCGAAGGGCTGGGGGTGGGACGGGAGCGGGGTTAAGGGGAAAATATCTGTAATACTCTCAACAACAACAAATTATAGTTGTTACCTGTGACACTATTTCATGGAAACACATAATGTAATGAGAAGCATATCCTGCCCACACAGAAAACACCCATAGGTGTTCTAAAGACCCATACTCCCCCAGGAAAATAAAAATGTAAAGAAAAGTGAGGCGGAGATTATAAAGTGAATTCTTCCCCAGGCAGAGTCACGAGTTAGCACCTTGCAACTTGGTGTCACACAGGCAGCAGGGCAAGGTGCTTACTGACCTTTTCTGATAAATGCCGCTCCTCATCCCCTATCTCTCCACACAGAACGCTCCTCATCCCCTATCTCTCCACACAGACTGTTCAGGTCTTAAGCTAATCACAGCCCCCAAGTGTAATTTTTAATCAGAGCTGGGGGGAGGGGAGGACCTTTTGAGAGACTATTAACTTAATGGCACCTCTGGATGGAGGGAAAGGTCCTGAAAAGACTAGATTGGTCGTTTCTGCACATGTCATTTATGGCTTCCAGCTTCACCAGGCCTGAGAGTGATGCCGGGGAGGCTGAGAAGAGGCTGCGTTCAGGTCGGACGTGCCTTCTTCAGCAATGGTGCTTGCTCATTCACACACAGCCCTCTCGGGCAAGAGAGGAGGCATTCTCGTACCGTCATGGTGGGGACATATGCTGGCAAAATCCTTTAGGAAGAGGATTACACACATACATACATAGATACATACCTGCACAGGTATATGCATACACATATGTATGTGTGAGTATGTGTGCATTATCTTCGATTGTCATACTCTAGACAAGTGGTTGGCAAATTGCGGCTCACAAGCCACATGCGGCTCTTTGGACGCTCCTCATCCCCTATCTCTCCACACAGACTGTTCAGTCATCAGCACTCAACCAAGCAGCACGTGAAGGTCTTAAGCTAATCACAGCCCCCAAGTGTAATTTTTAATCAGAGCTGGGGGGAGGGGAGGACCTTTTGAGAGACTATTAACTTAATGGCACCTCTGGATGGAGGGAAAGGTCCTGAAAAGACTAGATTGGTCGTTTCTGCACATGTCATTTATGGCTTCCAGCTTCACCAGGCCTGAGAGTGATGCCGGGGAGGCTGAGAAGAGGCTGCGTTCAGGTCGGACGTGCCTTCTTCAGCAATGGTGCTTGCTCATTCACACACAGCCCTCTCGGGCAAGAGAGGAGGCATTCTCGTACCGTCATGGTGGGGACATATGCTGGCAAAATCCTTTAGGAAGAGGATTACACACATACATACACAGATACATACCTGCACAGGTATATGCATACACATTTGTATGTGTGAGTGTGTGTGCATTATCTTCGATTGTCATACTCTAGACCAGTGGTTGGCAAACTGCGGCTCGCAAGCCACATGCGGCTCTTTGGCTCCTTGAGTGTGGCTCTTCCACAAAAATACCACGTGCAGGCGCGCATGTACAGTGCGATTGAAACTTCGTGGCCCATGTGCAGAAGTCGGTATTTTGTGGAAGAGCCAAAGAGCCACATGTGGCTCTTGAGCCGCAGTTTGCCGACCACTGCTCTAGACCTAGGATTTCCACTTCTGGATAGCTAAATTAAGGAAATAAATAAAAACTTAGCAAAAGCTATCTGCACAAAGCATAGTCGTTATTCTTTTGGATGTTCTAACTGTCCTGTTTGTCACCAGGAGATGTCCCAGACACATCCTGTGTTTTATCTGCCCTAGATCTGGAGTCAGCCATTTCTCCAAAGATGCCTGGTTTCTTTAAGTACAAATTGGCATTTAGAAACCCGGATCCAGATGCTGGGCGATTTTCACCTTCTCATCATGCTTTGTTCTGCCCTGCATGACCCCTCAACTCCCTCAGAGAGAATTAGATCCCTCCCTCCTCTCTCTTCCTTTGGTGCGATGAACACTTCGAATATTTAGTGCATGACTGCACTGTTGATATCTCTGTTCCTCTCTCTGGACTCTGAGCTGGTTGAGGGCAGAGGCCAGGCTAACTTCGTTTCTGAATTCATCCATTCATCAATCAATTCATTGATCGAGGACCTATTATGTGCTAAGCTGTGAAGCCAGAACTGAGTCCAGGGGTGGCCATGTAGCAAACCCTCAATAAGTACTTAGGAGGATGGAGAAGAATGAGCCTCATTCCTTTCATCCAATTCCACCAATCAGGGGGGTTACACTGAGCATGGAGGGAAGAGGAAAACTCCCAGAAAACACAAGAAAACCGGGCAGCTGACATTCACAGTCAGGCTCAAAGGGCATCTTGCCTCATATCCACTGGGCCCCTAGAGCAGAGGAAGTGGGAGGGAGAGGAGGAGGGAGAGGGAGAGGGAGAGAAACATCGATTGGTAAACTAAGCAGTTTTAATGGGTTAATTTCTCATGTCTTATGTAACTTTTAAATCCTATTCATTTATTTTATTACATTATATATTTATATTGTAATTGTATGTTTATAGAAAGTAAACTAAATAAAAACAACCCAAAACGATGAATATTGCAGTCTGACTTTCATACTATACCCCCAGGAAGGAAGGAAGGAATGGAAGGAAGGCAGGCCTGCCAATTTGAAATAATTCCATTTCATCACATGGGTCCCTTAGGCCAGTGGTCGGCAAACTGATTAGTCAACAGAGCCAAATATCAACAGTACTTCTTCAAAATAGACCACTCTCTCGAGGACGTTTCCAAAGGACGGATCACTTTTTAAATGGAGACTCGTGTTTGAGGGCGAGAGGATGAGGTATTTATGTAAAATCACATCAGTCAGGACGTGATGCACAATTTCAAGAAATATTGGGGTGGCGGGGGGAACTAATGCCAGAGGCATAAGTTCAAGCCAAAAGGACAGAAAACCAGCCTGACAGAGAGAGTCATTAAATCAAAATGCCGAAATATGGAAGGCTAATGCGTTTACAAAGTGTTCAAAATTCTTGCTTCTCAGCAGAACCTTTGCCCTGCAGGGCTCTGTGTCATCCACTGCGAGGCACTTCACTTGAAGTTTGCCAAATTGCTCATTTAAAAGGCTTACTGCTCCCTGCCTCCCCTGCCCCAGCCCTTCTCCTGCAGTTGTCACTTACTGTGAGTTCTTTGCTTTTAGCAAAAGGCCACCAGCCCCGCACGCGCTTTTGCTGGAATATGGAGATCTTGCTCTCCTCACTCGCATTTTCAAACTTGCTGAGATCACAGGCTTTGGCAGACTTGGCTGCCCGGGGGAAACTGTTGAGGTTCATTTCTAGGGAGCCTGTGAAGAGATGCCCAAAGCAGTTATGGAAGGGCGTTTAAAATCAGTCACCACTCTTGTTCACCCATTCATTCATTCATCCATCTTGCCTCCATCTACCCAGTCATTCATTCATCATCCATCACCCATCATCCACCGACCCATCCATCCATCCCTCACTAGTCATTCATTCAGCACCATATTGGATCACTATCAGGTATTGGGGATACAAACGTGGCCAAGACATATTCGGTGCCCTGACAGCATTAATAATGTGGTAGCAGGTAGGAGACAAGGGCAGAGCTACTATATGAAACTTTCAGGCCTCAGTTTCAGGTGCATTGCTGCTGGGCATCTCTGCTCCCTGACTGTAGTCTGAAGTACATGCCTGTGTCTGGGCCTTCCCCTGCCTTGGCATAGACCAGCCTGTGAGAACCCCCTTCTCACACCACACCTCCCTCTTTGAGTCCACTAAACCTCTCCAGGTCAGGGACTAAGTCTTACTGTCTTTGCAGTTACTCTCCAAGACCTCAGTAGACTCTCAACAAGGTATTTTCAATGAATGAATATAAGGCAGACTAAGATCATGTGCACTAGAGCCATGACAGCACTATATATCTCTCTAATAACCTTTCCCTAGTACAAAACTAATATTTGTTAATTGTGAATATTTAGAATATGCACATAAGCAAAACAAAAAAACAAAAAGAAAAAATTTCCATCATTCTTTATGGATTAGTCCTTATCCTTACATCATCTTTCTCTTTGACGGTCTCTATCACTTTTTCATACACATATAAACATGTTTTATATACACATATATTTTACAGAAAGGGGACTTTTCCTACATTCTTTTTTCACTCAATGCATCTTGCACATCTATTCAACTCATTAAATACTTTGTTATGTTTAATGGCTGCAGGGTTATCACTTATTGAGTGCTTACTATGTATGAGGCACTATGCTTAGTTTTTAAATTATAGTAACACACATACAGCTCCCAACACCCTCTGAGATATGCAATATTACTACCCCATTTTTACAACTGAGCCAAACTGAGACACAGCATGAACCACAAGTTAGCTCAAAATTTAACAGCTCCTTCATGGTAGAGCAAAGATCAACTGAAATCTGTTTGAATATGTATCTTCTACCATATGGAAGCTCCATAACTTATTCAGCCAATCCCCTATGAAGGGCTATTTGGAGTGCTTCCAGTTTTTTACTATCATAAGTAGCATTGAAATTATTACCCTTGCAGTGAAATCACAGCAAGCTCCCCCAAGCCCGGGACACAACCCTTAACATGCACACGAGCTGATGAAGCCACTGGCTCACCCAGAAAGTCATCCGAGGACAGCCTTTCAAAATCCCAGACCTGGAGCACCAGCACAGCTGGCGTCTTACACTCCATCTTCTCCAAGGAAAAGATGTTCTCCCTCTTGGTGATGACCATTTGCTTCTCAGCTGGGAGATACTGAAACGGAAACAGGAAGCGCCAGTTGAAGTTCCCCTCGCCGGTCAGGGAGTTGTAATGCACGTCTGTCTCCTGCTTGTCATCTTCCAAACCCTTTATCCACCTGAATAAAGGCAGAACAAGAACTAAACACACATTCTTCAGGCACCAGTATAATTGAGAGTGATTTCACTAGTTTCAATGTGGTCAGAGATCATAGTTTTAAGATTATGATATCATTAGATTTAGATGGAAGTTTCATTGATTCTAAAAGAGGTTAAAGGGCCTGAAACAGAGACAGACCCACATTCTAAGCCGTGTTGGGGAAGCATTCAGTTGTTCATGGGCAGACCGGAAGTCCCATGCAATGAAGAAGGAAAATGCAGGAGATGTGAAAGTAGAACCAGTTTCCTTTTATCCTGGGAGCCCTCTTTGTTAGGGGTGCCACCTCTGCACCTGGTATTACAAGATTGCCTACTACACCAAGGCCTCTAAACCTGGCCTAATTTAGACCTGTGATTGCAGGGCTGTAACTGGCCACCTTCTCTCTGGTTGTGGGTCTCAAAAACCCAGCAGGCCTGCATCTGTGTGGCCTGGAGGGTACCAGGGCTGCCTGCACCCACCTGGGCTCCAATCCTGGCTCTAGCACTTACTAACTGTGCAGCCGTAGACAAGTTATCTAACCTCTCTGTGCCTCGGTTTGCATCTGGAAAATGGAAGCAGTGACAGCACCTAGTTCATAGGGTTGTTCTGAGAATTATCCTATACTAGAGGCCCAGGGCACAAAATTTGTGCACAGGTAGGGTCCTTAGTGGCTGCCAGCCACTGGCCGGGGCCTTCCTTCATTCTGTGCCGCCCCCTGGTGGTCAGGGCACATCATAGTGAGTGATCGAACTCCCAGTCAGTCAAACTCCTGAGGGGACACTTTGCATATTAGGCTTTTATATATATAGATAATAAAAGCCTAAGATGCTAAGTGTCCGACTGTTCAACCAGTCACTATGACGTGCACTGACCACCAGGGGGTGGCGCAGAATGAAGGAAGGCCCCGCCCCGGCCGGTGGCCGGCAGCCACTAGGGACCCTACCTGTGCACGAATTTTGTGCCCTGGGCCTCTAGTATAGGATAATTCTCAGAACAACCCTATGAACTAGGTGCTGTCACTGCTTCCATTTTCCAGATGCAAACCGAGGCACAGAGAGGTTAGATAACTTGTCTACGGCTGCACAGTTAGTACACGGTCCCTCCCCTGGCCCCAGTCATGCACCGGTGGAGTCCCTCAGCTTGGCCTGAACCCTCTCACAATCTGGGACCCCTTGGGGGATGTTGAAGAGCTGGTTTGAGCCAGATCCCCGTAGACCAGGCCAAGGGACCCCACGGGTGCATGAATCCGTGGACCAGGCCTGTAATATGAGATAATATGGTAAGTGCTTTTGTACCCCATATTATCTATACAGAAAAAACTCAAAATAACGGACTGATTCAGGCGAGGGGTTGTCTGTTAAAGCTGAAAGTCCGTTATATTAATAAAATGGGTTTTCGAATGTATATGTTAAAAAAATCGACAAATTGTTTACCTGTTTTTACTTATGTAGACATGTTTGTGTAATTAAAATTAAGTCTGTATGGATTAAAGTTTAATCTCACAGAAAAGTTTTCTATATGTATTACTGTAATTTTAAATTTATACCGAATAGGTCTAGTCCTATATAATAAAAGCCTAATAGCATTCACCAGTCACAGTAAGTAAGCAAAGGCACACGGCTGGGGTATGGGGTTGGGGGGTGGGGTAAAAGGGACAAGATTTAAGGACATAGTAGAAATGGGAGCATCAATGAGACAGAAGGCTTCCTGGTTGGGGAAGACAAAGAGATACCCAGATGAGGCTGAGATGAGTTTTTTTTCAGGGCGATACATGTTTATGTCACTTTTGCTTTTGATTCTTTACTCCCTTATCTCTCTCCCTGACTAGAGGCTAAAAGGAAGCCTACAAAGGCACTTGTGTCATAGCCCAAGTGTAAGAGAGACATAAAATCCTCACTCCCTGAGTCCTAGGTTAGTATCTTTTTTATCAGTAGAACTAGCGAACAGGAAGTTTTAAGTTTTACCATTTGTATTAGTCTTACAATCTTATCACTTACTCTTCCATCAATAGTATCACATCTCTCTACTTCCTTCAGATGTAAATGTATTTTAAATGTTAACCCTTTTCGGTCCAACGTGGAGGCTGACTCGACAGACCAGGCGCTAGGAGCAGGTCCAAAGTCAAACTGAGGTCTAGTGAGACAGATAACTTCAACATTCAATCCCGTCAATTAATATGGACCAGACTGTTTGAATTCCAAAAATAAATTGGACCACAAGGGTTAATAGAAAAGCCTACATATACAATATTTAACTTAAAGAGATGCCTATATAAGATTTCCTCACAAAAATATTTTCATGAGATACTAATTCTTAACAAGGTGACCAAATAAGACAAATACTTGACAAAGCAAGTGCCCTTATCTAACAAGGTGAGTAAGATGAACTCCTTTTGTGGGATGTGGGTGGATTAGCTTCCTTGAGGCATAGATTTGCTTAGGGATTAATTAAAGACGTGAGGAGGGGAAGAATAAGAAGGATGGAGTTTGTTAATGACCTTACCCTTTAACATAAATATCACTTGATTTTTGTCCTGTGAAGATATTCTCATCCTCTAAAATGACATCTTCAGTGTTCCAGATGGTTACTCTCAATTCATATCTGGAATAAGGGAAGGCAGCATTAGGTTGAAAACTATGAAAATTAGTGGGTGTCTATGGGATTCTGTTATTGCTTTGAGTCTGTAAGTTTCCTCAACTTAACCAAGTTCAAAAATATCAACATTTAAGGTCTTGGCTCTATCAAAACCAAGCGTCCCAGCTGGAATCACCAAGGACATGAATTTCTCTGAGAAGATCCTCCTTCCATTAACCAACAATTTTCAGAATGTTGAAGCTTGGTAATAGCCCCTACCATAGAACAGGGACCACCACTCCAATCTCTACACCCCCCTGCTGTTATTGGCCCGGTAGAAAGTGAAATATAATTATCAGGTGCCAACTGATCAATGTAACACCAGTAATAGCCCCTACCATAGAACAGGGACCACCACCCCCCTGCTGTTATTGGCCCAGTAGAAAGTAAAATATAATTATCAGGTGCCAACTGATCAATGTAACACATGAGACACCAGCTCAAATGTCATGATCATTCAGTCTGCTACCATGGTCTCTCCCCTGAAGGTGGGGCTGCAGTTGACTTACCCTTTGGGTTGCCTTGGTGAAATGTCAACAGGAGGTCCAGGCTGAGGCATATCTTTGGGAAACATGTCCACCCACATCTGCAGGCGGCCCTTATTAAGAAAAGACCTCCTTTAGCTTTGGGGGGGCGGGGGTACCACATGAGCAACTGATCATTCACAGTTTTAATAGATCTCTTTACAAGAAATGGATATTAAATACAGCTTAGTCACTTTATACATGTTTAGAATATTTGTTGACAAAGATAGAACTGACATTATTAAAAAATTATTTTTTTATTAATTTCAAAGAGGAAGGAAGAGAGAGAGAAAGATAGAAACATCAACAATAAGAAAGAATCATTGATTGGCTGCCTCCTGCACGCTCCCCATTGGGGATCGAGCCTACAACCCAGGCATGTGCCCTGACTGGGAATTGAACCCTGATCTTCTAGTTCATGGGTCAATGCTCAAACACTGAGCACCAGTTGGGCTCATATAATAGTGGCCTCTTCCACTCTCAAAATGGCCACAGTTTGGATAAACAATTCTATGATCATCTCAATTATGTGAGATCATTTATGTAAGGGACCTAGTACATAGAAGGCTCTTAATAACATTTATCTTCTCTTCCCTTCTAAGCCCTAACCTGGATTTCTAGTTATTTTTTTCCCATCCAGTTTCTTCTTACTAGTTCTTCAAGGTAAGCCACCATCTATTGCTTCTCTGGGAAAATTAGTGGGCTGTGTGCCTACTGATAGAACTTTCGGCAAGAGCTTGAACATACCCAATGGGTTTTGAAGTTTCTCAAATGTCAGAATTCTTCCAAAAGAGTTTGGCAGCTCATTCATAAAAAGGAAAAAGCACCGAGTCCAACACTGACTCCAGGGCAGAGTTTCTCGACCTTGACATTACTGACATTTTGGGCTGAATGATTGGTTCTTTGTTGTGAGAAGCTGTCCTGTGCAGTGTAGGATATTTAATAGGATCCTGTCCTCTGCCCCCTAGATGTCAGTATCATCTCCACTCACTTGAGGGAACCAAAAATATTTCCAGACATTGCTAAATGTCCTAGGGCAGGGCAGTGTGTGTGTCACAATTGTCCCTCTTTGAGAACCATTATTCTAGGGCACACAAGATTAACTTTTAGGGGAAAGTCACATTCCTTGGGGATGAACACTTGTATCGGGGCCAGATCTGACTTGGCCACTACCTGCTCCATCCCTGGCTTATCCTTGTGGTACAGCGGACGGGTTTCTATGTGCTCAGGAACCAGCCTACACCCAACCTCTGGGATATCATTCCAAGAGTGTAAAACTTTGAGGGCCAAGTGCTCGTAAGACTCCACCGTCTCATCTGCGTGGAAGAAAGAAAAACAGAGATTTGTCAGCTGTGTGTTCCTATATGGGGACAGTGATGGGCTGTCAGATGCATTTTAAACACACTTAAAGTTTTTTTTAAAAAAATATATTGAGACACAAGAAAAGCCAGCAAAAGAGAAAAAGAACAAAGAGAGAATGGAAAGAGGTGGGGGTAGTGAGGTAGGAAGGGGAAGGATATTGGAAATTTAGAGAATGAGACATGAGATGGTTTGATAAGAAGACCCAGAGAACAGTCAGGGGTCTTGGAACATAGGTCTCCTTGAATCAGATTTCTGCAGAGTCTATAAATCACTAGCTGGGCTTCAAGGTTCTGGAGAGGATATGTTTCTTGGAGATACAAAGCTGTTTGCTAACACCACAGTGTGAGAGGGCCTGGGGATCAGCATGACCCAAACAAGGTGGGGAAATGGGCACAATCTATGTTCATGGATGTTCTCTGTGTTTTCTCGTTACTGCTTGGGATTTCCCTCCTACCATCTCCAGCTCGGAGAAAAGGTTCTTTGATCTATCCTTTACCAAAGAAGGTAACTCATGATAACAACTACTGGCACAAACATTATTTGCAAACATTATATGGCAACAACTGTTGAAAGGATCAAAACTTCTTGACAAAGACTGGAATGGCTACAGTTGACATAGGAAATTGAGCTTTTTTTTTTTTTCATAAAAGGGGGGGGCACAAAATAAATCTCCCAATAGTAGTAATTATAATTAGTAAAAGTTGATAGGGACAAACAAGCAATCAATGGACTAAATCTTTGTCATGAAGTTTAATCCATCAAGAACGGATCTTGAACATAATTTTAGATTTTTGGAGGGCAAAAAATTGTTTAATCATGAAATACAGGATACTGACCAAGAAACTAAATAAAGCATAGTGTGAAAGAGAATATTTGTCAACATAAATTAATCAATATGTCATAAACACACTATTTAAATGTTAATTAATTCTGCATTTAAGAACCTTCAAGAAGTTTCCGGGGTCAAAACAACATGGTAAAAAGAAATCTTGACATCAGTTTGTGGGATCAACACAGCAGTGTCAAAACATCCTGTGGCATGTCCTTAATTGGGTTCTTGGCATTAGAAGATGCACCAAACAGACAAGGGTGACAGTACAAGAATTTCTCTGTATCATTAAAGTAAAGGTGACTTTTCTTCTCATCTTAAGTTTATGAAAACCTCCCTGGGACCTTCCTGGTAGGTGCCATGATATTCCTATGGAAAGTCTCCCTTTTAGTGTTGAAATCAGAGTTGTTGGTATAACATTTATGGGGGTAATTTTGGTTGTGTCCAAGGATTTACTGTATATAACATTCTTTTTAAGGTCATTGCCTACCTTCTGCCACATCAATTCTAGTTATGTGATCTCTAGAAACATCACAAATGTGCAAAAGTCGGTATGAGAAAGTGCATGGTAGCATTAAGTGTCACTGCAGAAAGTGGACACAATGTAAATAAACGGCAAAACCATACAATGAATATTATCAGTGATCATTTCAAAGCACAAGGGAGAATTGTCATGATCTATTGGAAACAGAAAAGACAGGATACAAAACTACATGACATTTATAATTCTATAAAAATGTGATA